AGTTAAGTTTAAGTTTTTATTTTTCTGGTATTTAAAATACCTGGGCCATGAGGGGCCATCACTACATCTGGATGACTGGAAAATCCGTAGATATCAATGGATGAAACTTGATTACTTTATAGTGGTTTCTCTAGCCTGTAGTATATCTAATTAGTGGGTCAGCATCCCAACTCTCCTTAGACCACAGCTCAGAATGAGAGAATTGAAATGCCTACTGACCAGTTCCACAGACTCACACATACATACTTGGTGAGAACAGCACCATCCCAAGACCTCTCATGCACACAGGTCAAAACAGGTTAAACAAAGCCCTATACCTGGTTTCTTTAAAAAAACATCACACAGTAGAGGAGGTGACCTATAGACATGAGCAGGAATAATGACCAGAAAGAAATAGGTAACTAAGAACAACAACAAAAAAAAAGGAAGAAAAAATCTTAACATCAAAAATTTTCAAATTAAGATGACAGTTGGATACTATAATATAGGCTCCGAGTGATTACATTTTACTACTAGGCCCTTAGAGGTTCATAATTATGGTTTCATCCTTAATGATAACTTTAATTATCTTGGGTTTTCAACAAAAACTGAACAAGTTAGAAAAAAACACAACTAAGTTAAAAATGTTAGATATTACAATTGCAACCCCACTTTCTGATGTTTGCACATTAATGGCTTAAATAACTGCATTTGCTCTCTGAAACTGCAATGTTCAGTTGGATTTACTCTGGGAGCTAATTGACCTTAGATGCCCATGGAGCCAGCGCATCACACCAGCTGGCAGAGCAGGCCTGTCTTGTCTTTGCTTATGGAATAAATTCAAAAGTCAGTAAATGTTGCCTTCACTGACTATGAAGTTTTCATTGTCCTGGTTCTCTACTATTGATTTTTTTCTTTCTGCTTTTTAAATCTGACAGTCAACAGGCTGTCCCCATCGGTGGCAGCAGTCTTGAGGTTTCTGTTTTTTGGTCTGGTTATTGACTTTCAGTCACTTAAGACTGAAATCCAGCCTGGACAGATGAGAGATGGCTGAGTATTTCTTTGTAGTTGTTATTTATAATTTGTTTGTATCCAACCAGGAATACATTTTTGTGTCAAGTAAAAGAACAGTGTTTTGTTGTCTACTTGGGGCTTATAGTTGGAGAAGTAGAATTCATGCTAAGTCCTTGGGAAAAAAAGAAATCACAGTGCAGAGGGAAAACATGTTCCTGTCTCTCAAGGACAATGAAAAAATAGAATCGAGGAGCCTGCTGTTCAGATTGGTTTATAGAGATTAAAGAGCATTTAAATAAATCCAACATTCCCCAAATTCCAAGAAAACAAAGTCAACTTCTTCTGACTTTGTTTTCCATCTTTAGTCTTCTATCTTAAGCAAAAGCCTTTTCCCACCCAAACTGATGATTCACCATTCTGTTTTCCTATTAGAAAGTGAGTTAGAGAGTCAAGGCCAGGCCAGGTGGTATGTGCCTGTAATCCTAGCACTTGTGAGGTAGAAGCTTTGGCTACATAGGGAGTTCCAGGCAAGCCTATGTTACACAAAACTCTGCATATTTAATCTGTGGATATTTAATCTCTATGTACTATAATCTAGCATGGTTCAATTAAATATTTTTTGTTTTATGATCTGGTTGTTCCAGAATTTGAAAGGAGGTACTAAAGATTAATAGTTCATAGAAACCGAAAATTGTATGTTTGAAGTACAAATCTTGGTTCTCTGGTTTTTAATACCTGAAAATGCTGTCTATGAAAAGGTAATACAGAGTCAGCATGATGGCTCACCAGGTATAAGCACTTGTTGCAAACATGGGTGACCCAAATTAGATCCCTGGAACCTATAAAAATGGAAGGAAAGAACCAATTGCACAAAGTTGTCCTCTGATCTACACACACACACACACACACACACACACACACACACACACACACACACACACTAGGGCACATGTTCACACATGCATACCCACCATACACATAATCATATAATGTTGATTTTAAAAAGTAACATTTTAAAAGAAAAGTGATGCAATGTCAACATTTGGCAGAAAGTGTACTATTGTGAATGTGGTATACATGTGAGTGTGTGATGTATGTGTGTACAGTGTGTATATGTGTGGTGTATATATGTGTATGTTGAGTATGTGTATATGGTATAAGTGGTTACATGCAAACAAGTATATAGAAGTCACGGAAGGATGCTGAGTGTCTTCTTCAATCGTTTTCTGCCTCATTGATGAGATGACATCTCTCATGGAACTGGAAGCTCACCATTTCAGCTGGGTGGCCAGTGAGTTCCCAGTACCTGTCTCTGTCTCCCAATGCTAGGGTTACAGCATGCAAAGATATGCCTAACTTTTAACATGGGTGCTGGAGATTTGAATTTACTTTCTCATGTTTACAGAACAGGACTCTTAGTCACTGAACCATCTCTCCAGCCTGAAGTTGAAATATTTCTATGATTTACTCATAAAGTGTTTTTTTTTCAACATAAAGAATGACAGGCACACTATTGATGTAAAACTCAAATCCAGCTGTTTGCACTGGAATGTGCTGGTTTTGAAGAATTTCACCTCATGCTTACAAAAAGCAATAAAAATAGATTCTATGTAAATGCCTTTGGAACAAAGATTTAGTACCATAAAAAGTAATTTTCAGACATAATGCTAATGAGGATATATCTTTGTATATTTAAAAAGGCAAAATTCTGCCATTTCTGAATGAGCTAATGGTATTTTTTTTTTTTTTTTTGAGACAGGTTTTCTCTGTGTAACAGTCCTTGTTGTCCTGGAACTTGCTTTGTAGACCAGGCTGGCCTCAAACTCACTGAGACCCGCCTGCCACTGACTTCCAAGTGCTGGGATTAAAGGTTTGCACCACCACCGCCCAGCAATTCTTTTTTTCTTTAGTATACAAAAGAATCAATCTTAATCATCCCAAAGGTCCGTGTGTTTAAAGCTAATGAGATTGGTGGAAATCCTGAGCAGGAACCTATCGAGAGAACTTCTAATTGTTGGGATGTGTCATTGGGAGAGGATTGTGGGATTCTGGTGTCTTCCTCTTTTCATCACATCCTGTCCAGGAGATGGACATCTTTGCTCCACCACATATTCCCGGCCATGATGCATTGCCCAGAAGCAATGGGGCAAGTGAACCCAAAACTGTAAGTCAAACAACTAGGTCTCTTTCTACGCCGTCTACCTCAGGTATTTTGTAATCAAAAGAGCATTCAATGTGGTCACTTGTGATAGGTAAGTCTCATTTTGTACAACATAACAAGCCATTATTAAGGAAAAGGGCTTACAAGTAATATTCCTAACAATATCATCAAGACCTCCCAAGAAGTTATTCTTGTTTATGATTTATTGAGTTCCAGCCTTGCAAGCAACAAGTAAAGTCATTCCTGGAACTGCCAGGAGCCTTAGGTTTGGAGAATCTGGAGGACAGAGAAATTCACCAGCGCTTACATATGCTAAAGATGAAACTTAAGCCATGTGAAGTTCCTGGTTGGCTTTCCATCTTGTGATATAAGCCTTATTATATAGACTAAGGAAGATCTCTAGAGGAAAAAAAAAAATCACAGGAAAGGCTCTTCTCAATTCCATAGTAAATTATCAAAATTAATTCACTGACTTCATTAATAATAGTTGCTTAGCACACAGTACAGGACTGTTCCGGGTCCATATACAAGAATCCGTTTGCACTTAATCCCAACAGGGAGGTAGAGGCAGGCAGATCTTTGTGAGTTCCAGACCAGCCTGGTCTACAAGAGCTAGTTCCAGGACAGCCTCCAAAGCCACAGAGAAACTCTGACTCAAAAAACCAAAAAAAAAAAGAAAGAAAATGAAAAAGAAAAAAAATCCCTATGCTAACTGAATGGGTTTCTGAATTATGGCAATGGATGAAGCCTAGACACAATGCTTTTTTGATTATAGATTTCTAGTGATGATTTATGACAACAAAGGGAATGTCATATTGGAGTGCTGTCTAACTGATATACTCAATGAATATTTAATCATCTAGGGGTATGCATATGTATTTTCATCTATTACTCTTTGGAAGAACATAAACTTAGCAAAACTTTGAGTGACATGTGATTCTTGTTCTGAAATGTCAAACAAATGTTGCATAGTGCAGATGATTTCTGTCTATACAAATTTTCGTATGACTTTCCATGTGATTGAGAGATCTTATTCCAACATACTTTTTTTTGAGCAATTGAAGTACTTCTGCTAATCTTACACTTTTGCAAACCGGCTTTGCCATACCATAGCTTCTCTCATTAAGGAGGTCATTAATCACTAGAGAAGCAAAACAGTCTCTGACATGAACTCACTCTAAAATAAAAACCCGCTAAAAGAGAATGGAAAATTAACCCTTGAATGTGCTCCCTCATAGTGGAGCTGTTGAGGGATTTTCCTTCCATAGCTGTCATTTTACTTTCAATATTTTTTCATGTTAAGCATAAATTCATTTTAGATTGAAAAAGGGAATGAGCTCAGTGTATTTTGTGTTTGTAGGAGAGGCTGCTGAAGAGAGACTGATGTTATGTGAACAGTGCCAGGGTGAGGGGTGGGGGGGGACTTGGGGGAGTGATCTGAGCATTACTGAGATTGGGGAAACCCTTCACCTTTCCGGATGACTTGCTGTACAAATTCTTGTCTTATTACCTCACTGACTACTTCTGTCTTAAGTACATACTAGTGAGTTTAATGAGGGAGGGAAGAGGAGAGAAAAGAAAAGAAAAAGTAACTGCTAGAACTCTGTAGAACAAATAAATATGAGGCTCTGGCTCTGGTGAGCTTTGGAAATTTCAAAATGCCCATAGATATCCCACGACAGTAGCCAAGGAAGAGTTACATGGAACAGAGAGCAAGAAATGGGATGGACACTAGTGGCTGGCTGGTCCACATGGAAATTCCATACCCCTACATGTGCCCTTGGAGTCTGCCCCAACCCTGCGGATACAAGCCAGGTGAAGAGTAAGGTCAGAAGAGGAAGATTACCAGGCGTTCCATCTCCTGCTCCCTGAGCCTCTCCTCCCTCTGTCGTCGGTGATAATCCATGAGACTGTCGCGGCCTGAGATGGAGCTGATGCTACTTTTCCGTTCTCGAAGGGCAGGCTGGGGAGTCTCTGAGGACTGTCGTAGGCTTTCCAGATCAGAATCATCAAACTCCATAGATCCACAAGAGAAGTTCCTCCTGGCCGAAAGCATTCGGTCTGATTCTCCAGAGATGAAGGAATGACTTGGGCTGGTCCCTGAGTATGAAGCCCTATCAAAGTCATCAGAGGACGTGGAGGCCAGGAGCATCTTCCGAGCCACTCGAGGGCTGGCAGGGACACTGAGGGTGGAGCTTACGTAAGGATTTCCCTCTGACAGAGAGGTCTTATAGGGTGAAGCCCCTGAGCTTAGAGAAGAAAAGTTAAGGTAATTGTCATTATCCACTATGCTATGAGGTAGATCCCTTTCCCCTAAATGACCTCGTTTGGAATTGCCCAGGGAATTTCTCGGAGGCAGGCTGAGAGGCGACATCTGGCTGTCTGTGGCTTTATACAACCTGGGAAGCGATCGGCTGTAGGCACCCATATTGCTCAGGCTGCTCCCGGAATACTTCCTGGTTCTCACACTGACGGTCTCAGAGGCTGGCTCCTTGTGCCTGCTTAACCTGGGCTGAAGTGTCAAGTTGTCCTGTAGGTTCATTTTCCTAGCTTGCTTTGGGCTTGAAGGCATGCTCGCTGCCCCAGATCTGCTGGTGGCTGCGGAGCCAGCGCCACTGGAGGAACCTCCATTCCACATGGTCAGGAGCGAGCCGGAGGCTTTTCTTCCTTCCAGCCCCCCGAGAAAGTAGACGTTGTCATGTGATTTATTCCTAGAGCTGTATCTGGAATAGGGAGGCTTCTCTGAGAGCCTGGAGGACCTCTCACTGTCCCGACCAGTATAATGATCCCAATCTGCTCTCCCAAGTGGATAACCGCCAAGAGAGGCTGCAGAGCTGAGGAGCGAAGTGGGAGGTTTCATGGAAATAGTTTTGTCAGCTCCATCACAAAACTGTTTGCTTCCCTGAAGTTTGGCCAAGGAGGGGCTACTCCTGACACTGGCGCCCAAGGGAGAAGTGCTTCTCTTGCTAGACACAGGTTGTGAGAGCGTTAAATATGAGCCAGAGTAGTCCCCGTTGGCTTTAAATTTCAGACTGGACGAGTATTTCCTTGGGCTTAGGCTCTCCATCATGTTCTGGGGCTCAGCCTCCAGGGAGCGTACCTCAAATTCTTCCTCTAAGCTACCATTTTGTAATTCTTGCTGCTTCTGTATGTGGCTATCTTCTGCCATAATAATATTGCTGGACCCTGCAAAGAGGAAAAGGAGAACGTTTTAGATGAAAACTATGAAACTGTACTAGAAGCTGAAAAATAAGGACCACTGATCAGGGCTATATATCTTTGGTACAAAAGAAAAATAACTCAAGATGACAACAATAGTATTTGAGGGAAACAAATCCCTAGTAAAATGATGGCTCAGGATTGGGCTGGTATGGAAGGACAGCAATTTTTCTCTCAGTGCTCCAGTCTTTGCAAAATCACCAGCTTCCTGAATATTTTCATATGCCTAAAAGAATCATTCAATAGCTTTTCCTTTAGATGTTTCTGCTAGACTCATTACCAGCTCAGCTACAGAAACAAAATCCATATCTTGACAGAGGAGGAAGGTTTATGTTACACACTGATCCAGCACTTGAGGGCCAAAGTGTGGTTCTTTTGGAGCAAAAATGTGGTTATTGCCTGTATATATTGTATATACTCATTGTATATAGTTTTTCTTCTGTTAGCTGTAACCTTTTTTTGTATTAGACAAAAAAGGGAAATTGTGGTGATATATTATTTTTGATTTAATAAAGCTTGCCTGAGGGCTGATGCAAAGCCAGCCACAAGCTATAGGGTTCAGGCAATGGTGATACAGACCTCTAATCCCAGCATCCATACTTGTTAGTTACAGAAGCTAGGTTGAAGGCCACTCTGAGCTACACGAAACCAATCCAGCCCTAAAGAGAAACAGCTCACGCAAAAGTGATCTCAGCACTTGGGATCACAGGCCATAAATCCCAGCACTAGGCAGATATAAAAACAGAGGGCCTAATGTGAAGAATTAGCCTCCAGCCACATTGAGAAGAGTCAGAAGTCTGAGGCTTGGGAGAGAGCTAGTGGAGACAGGACTGACATTTTCAATCTGAGGTAGAGGTAGAGCTACTGGCTGGCTTTGCTTCTCTGATCTTCAGCTTGAAGCTTGAACCCCAGTATCAAGTCTCTGGGCCTTTTATTTTTCATGTTACAGAAGAGTTGGAAATTCATTTCTTAAGTGGAAAGCTGAACATACCTGTGCTCATCAGATAGGGGCAAGAGATACCAGACCAAAGGGTATTTCTAAGACTGTTGCCCTATGCTCAAGGTAGCCTATTTAAAAGCCCTAAATTATTCTATTCTTCAAATTCCTTGGTACCCTAAATGCGTTGTGCATATCCTTGATATAGAGCCCTCTTCTCTAACAGAATCACTTTTCGTCTTCTGGTCTACTAATCAAACTCTACCTATCATTCAAAGGACAAAGTAGGATACTATCTTCCTTAAGTAAATATTTTCTCAAAAATAAGTATATGTTCTGGGTCCTAGATTCAAGCATTGGCCTAAACTTTTAATCTATGAAAATATCCTTGAATTAAAACTAGCACTAAAAATGAAAAGACTTATATTTCTGAGTGACAGAAACCATTTTAGATATTAACAAAGGAAAAATGCAATATGATGCTAGTAAGTATATACAGGGCTAAGACTTTCCTCCAGCCCTCAGGGACCTTGGACACTAATGTTTGTTGAAAAGGATTATGACTAGAAATTTTATCTTATGGTCAACTATTAACTTTGTTCTGTAGGCAAAAAACTCAAAACATTTTTCAATCATGCCCATCCTCATACCATAGGAGGAAGACTTAACTCTCTTTGCTTAGCCTCAGATTCCCTGGGCAAACTCAAACAACTCAGGATGGAGCTTCTTACCCACAGGCTGGGATAAAGAAAATTTCCCTGCTTATTTCCAGGTGATGCCTGGAATTGCCTATACAGAACTACAGTCTTCTCCCTAAGAAATACTGCCTAGGATTCACTATCCTCCAAAGCTCTATGTGAATATATGTTTAAATGGTGTATTTTTAAAGATTTATTTTCCTTTTTTTTTTTTTTTTTTTTTTTTTTTTTGGTTTTTCGAGACAGCGTTTTTCTCTGTGTAGCTTTGGAGCCTATCCTGGCAGTCGCTCTGGAGACCAGGTTGGCCTCGAACTCACAGAGATCCACCTGCCTCTGCCTCCCGAGTGCTGGGATTAAAGGCGTGTGCCACCAACGCCAGGCAATTTTTTACACAGTATTTTGCTTACATGTTTGTTTATGCATCAGAAGAGGGCACCAGATCCCACTACAGATGGTTACGAACTACTGTGTGGTTGCTGGGAATTGAACTCAGGACCTCTGGAAGAGCAGCCAGTGTTCTTAACTGATGAGCCATCTCTCCAGCCCTAAAATGGTATATTTTTAAAGAGTTGCTAAAAAAATAAAATCCCATAAAGCATTGATGTTATATCTAAAATTTTGTTCCTGGTGGCCCTGCTGTCCGGCTCTTACCAAATCCTTCACTGCCTGTGGCCATCTTCCCCAAGCAATGCCTTTGGCAATTACCTCCATTTCCAGCACCAGTCTGTCTTGAGATATTTCTTGCCATACTCCTCTGGAGGAGGGAAAGTAAGACAACCCCTAGCCTTGGTCTTTTTTGGAATTCATCTCATTCCTGGTGGGTTTGACATTTTGAAATTTTAATAAGACTTAGCCAGTTCTCCCAACTTAAACATTTCAGGACTGAGAAAGGAAGAAAAGAGATGGATCTTGAGGATTTATTTATTATATAGGAAAAAGCACTCTAAAAGCCCAGTGATGTGTGGAAAAGCTGTGCAATCATCTAACACTACATTTAAAGTCTATTTATACTATAAAGTATATTCATATAGTATGCATTAAAATATCCAATGAGTATTGTTATTTTTCACAAACACATCCACAAGCATTGATTACAAACACGGGTACCCCTGTGCCTATAATGTGCACAGGTGATAGTTTTCTTACAGTGCTCAGGTCAAAAGTTGGGGAGTCATTGTGACCCCTGTCATTTCTACTTCTCTCCTCATGGTACCCATCAACAAACCCAATCAGCATTGTCCTTCATCCATATTCCAAATTGTATACTTCATGTTGTTTCATTGTTGCTGCCCATAAAACCAGCATCTTTTTGCCCCCAGTGCCTACCCTCTTCCCACAGCAGTAGCAATGGACTGAAAAAACTCACACCAGAAGCTACTGCTGATTTTGCCTGGGGTGATAATATTACTAGTAATTTCATATCAATTTACATTGCATGCATTTTGAATTTTGACAATTATCCTGCATAAAATATTAGAACATAGTACCACCTTGGCTTTTATTTGTTTGTTTGTTTTTGTTTTTGTTTTTAGAGAGAGGGTTTCTCTGTGTAACAGTCCTGGCTGTCCTGGAACTCACTTTGTAGACCAGGCTGATTTTGAACTCCCAGATATGCACCTGCCTCTGCCTCCCGCTAGGATTAAGGGTGTGTGTCACCACTGCCTGGCACCATCTTGTTTTTAACTTAATCAGATTCTTGTGTGTTTCAGAAGTGGCTGTTTGGGATGGTTGTAGAAACTTTAGTTAGTAGAGGAAGGAGATTACTGTGGGAAGGGTTTTGGGGTACCCTACTTCTGTTTCTCTGCTTCCTAACTACAGTTAAATGTGCCCAGCAATTTCTCATTCCTCCTGCCAGGCTTTTCTTACCATGGTGGACTGTATTCCCTCAAATGGCCAGCCAAAACACACCCATCCTTCCTTAAGTGGATTCTTGTCAGGTGTTTTGTCAAGGCAATGAAAAATAACAAACATATCAGATTCAGATATGGAATTCATTCATTTTTTCTCAAAACTGAGTTTGTCTGCCTGGCTGAATATATATATATGTATATTTACCAGAACTTAGTATCTCTTACTCCTGAATACCAACACAACACTAAAGGAAATATGCCACACCGGTAGTCTTTCTAGCTCCATGAGGGACATCAATAGCTACAGACACCTTTCTCCTTTCCTACTTCCAGGGCACTCTTCATGTGAGGTATGACCCCATGAGGAGAGGCCTAGAAATAGGAAATGAGTAGGAACTGCAGGCCAGTCATCAGTAATACACTTGAAATGGAGGGTAGGGCATGGGTAAGAGCCTCAGAGGCAAGGGTAGAGACCCAAGTGGGAACGTGCTGATTAATTCCTAAGCACTGGAGGATATGACTGCAGGCAGAATGCATCAGAGACTACAGTAGGGTTTGAGGTTAGTGGGAGAAAAGGACAAAGACTGCAAGGACCCCTCACCAAAGCAGCTTAAGCAAGAGAAATGAGAGGTAGCAAACACATAAGAAAAGAGCTGAAGAAAATCCTGGGTTTACAGCTGTCTTTATGTCCAATGCTGCTCTGTTTATTTGGGGTTTCCTGAACATTTTATGTGAACAAAGACAAGGTCTCGGTGAAACTATGAGATCCCTGCATTGTGTTATTGGGAAAGCAAAACAGACCCAAAGGTTGTGATGGTTACATGCACTCTTCCATACATAGCCACAGAAGGCCTGTGAGCCGGAAGGAATGCATCTGGTGCCCATCTGAGAGAAAGGACAACTTGGGAAGTCTAAACAGGAAAGAAGCTAATGTGTGTTGAAACGTTTGCATTTACTTTCCAATCCATAAATTTAATCCTTCCAGTCCTCTTGTTATTTTACCACCTAAAACACACATTCATCTTATTGTCAATCAGAAAATGCCACAAAGACAGGACATAGTCTTTTGAAAGACTTTACAGAAAAACCACAGCACCTTTTCCCCTGGAGAAGAAAATTACTTCAGTGAACAGTCTAGAGGAACGCTGTTAAATGTTTCTTCAGAGAGTCACTTCTCTGTGGTATGGTTTAAAGTGTTTTTTCAAACAATTCTCCGGTTCCACTCACACCAGATGACAGCCAAACTCATCTCATTCAGACCTTCCTGTTGAACAGTGAAGTTACAACAAGGGCATCACCAGAGCTGTGTGCATTGTCATTCCCAGCTAAAGAAGGCACAGCCAGAAAGGCAAGCTTTTTAAAACAAAATGCTCACAGCACTGCGTTACAGAAGAGAACTTAACGTCTGGCTGACAGATGCAAACATCAGCAGGTTTTGGCCAAATAAGTGGCTTTGGAGGATTCCTACAATAAACACTAGTG